AGGACTTGGAGAAGACGATCACAGGCTGTAAAGCCACCATCTCCTCACGGAGCAAGACTCACCCAAACACGGCTGTGAACAGCTGTGGTCTACGGTTCTCACAGCAAAAACAAAAAAACGAACAGGCCCATGCGGCACGTGTCTTTGGCTTATTCCAATCTTCCCGACCTGTCCATCACAAACGTGATCAAGCGTGCCTCGACTTTCGACTTGAGGTAAGGGTTTGCCTGGTGGAGCAAAGCAAGAAACAACAAAGTTTTGAGACGTGCATGACGTTGTCCGTTGACGCCGCTGGGGCGGACTTCGGCAACTAGAGCTTAAGTCGTTAAGTAGAGCTTCAGCAATTTAATGCAATTAATTTCTATTTATACATCCTTGACAAACCACGGACAGCCCTTTCTGAGGGTCAGCAACACATTGAGATTGGTGTTCACATAGTTCACATAAATGATTGGGGGCATGAGAAAAGGAGTGCAAACCATAGATGGTTCCCAGTCAACATGGCGATTGACTGCATGTTTTTCAAAGGGTCACTGTTCCATCCATGCGGATCAAACAATGTGCTCAACGAACCGACTGGACGTTAGCATCATCCTCAACAGTAGGGTAGCTTCAAAAGAAACACAGCCCTCTGATTCTGACTTCCATCTATGTACTCACGAGTCTGCCCGGCAGAGTTGAACCCTGAATCTCTGCCTCCACGCACAAGGCGGTTTGAGGCCAAACCCGCGGGTCCCGACCCGCTGCTGAGAGCGACCCACTGCGTCCGATTCTCCACACAGCTCATGCCGAAGCGAAAGGGATGGAAGCAAACGTCAAGGGGCCGCCGCCCCCCTAGTAGTGCAACAACCTCGAACGCCCTGAAGAAGAACAACTGTTGTGCAGATATTCTAGTTATTCTAGTATTAGTGGTCAACAACCACATAACACATAGGGCCCCCAAAGGCGCTATGTCTGTGTACTCACGGACAACCCCCTGGTGTTACGTGTTACGTCACCCAACGGAAAAAAAAAAAACGCCAAAGAACATGGATCTTGGGTCTTACTGTGGTTCCCTGTGTTCAATCTGCCTGGCGGAAAAAACAAAGTAAACAGGGAACCTTTTGGTCGCTTCTGGGATGTGCTGCAACTGCAAGATTTATCAACTTTCTATGTGACACATAACTGCTCGTGGAAAAGAGACATTATAACAGCTTCAAAGAAAATGACAACACAACAGGTATTCATGGAGTCTTGGGTGCCTTAGCCACTGTCTTCCTTCCATGAACTTTGATTATGCAGGCGTTCTATGTAATCAACAACACACATATACATATATATATATATTTAAATGTATATGAATTACGTAAAATACATATAGTAAAATTTACTAATACAATATATATATAGTTATATACATAGTATATAATATTAACTATTATGTTACTAGGGCTCAGGGTCTCATGGCGCACCTCAATGGTCTGTTCCGCAGCCATCGCCACGTGCCGAACAGCGCGCTCTCGGCGATCTCGACGGGAAGAACAGGCCGCAGTGGCCTTGTGGGTTCCGCCGGCACCGAAACCCTGGAAGGTGCGGCGTTTCCGACCATTTAAAAGAGAGGGATCCGATCTGGTTTTGTAGGGTAAAACCCTTAGTAAAACATAATCCTTAGTAAAATGTAGTCAAAGGATTGTTCGAGATTCCGGCTATTAAATACATGGGGCTTCCACTTGTAGGGGAAAGAACCGAAATATAAGTTCACCCGGGACCTGTTTCCCTGGAAAAGTAGCCGGGGCGTGGTTCTTTTTGCCCAAAAAAGAGTTGTGCAGGTGGTCAACCAACTGCGTATGTGAGGGACTGTTGGGAATCTTCAAGGTACCTTAGAAAATGGAGAGATGACCTCCTGCAAATATGTTCATTCGACGCAATCATAAAAGTACGTGCAGGTTTAGTCATCCTCAAGTCTGGTTCATTATCAAGGTATTAGGGAACAGTCCTCTTATTGGCATTCTCTGGATTATCAAATAGAGGATAATGCACAACAGTTGCAGCCAAACGCCTCCTTTTGGTCCTTTTAATGCCACTCCACAAAAGAATTACAGAGGAAAGGGTGCCCTCACTTAGGGACCTGAAAACATTCCTTTGGAACTGCTGGTACTCGTACTCATTTTCCAATGTACTTTGAGACTCCAGGTGTACGTCCACAGCTTCTCCCATCGACGACACCGCCAGGCTGGGCTACTGCAACGCAGCTCGCGGCGAAGGTGGCTGTGTGGCGGAGACTGCGGCCGTCTGTTGTCACGCCTGGGGAAGAACAAAAAACATCAAAAAACAAGTCATTTCGGAAATGAACAAATGCACCCCGACAAAAGATAGGCCCCCACATATATAATCAATAAGTATGCAAGTGACAAGCATTTGAGACGGTTGAACACTAATTAGGTCCAACCGCCAGTCCATTCAGGTTCGACGGCGAGCGTTTTGAGAGACACCGCCTAGCCGTGTCGATTTCGCATTTGTCGCCATCGGTTCCTCCGGAGTGACTTGGGCATCCTACGCCACCTCACGGCCATCCCAGTTGGATGGTCGCGCGGAGCCTTCACGGGCTTTCCTTGCAGGGGCCACCATGTGTTTGGTTTACTGAAGCTTGGTTCCCGAAAACAGTGTGAATCCAGAAAGCCATGCCGTGCCGCTTCATGTTTCCATATCACTGACATTTCTTGTACATCTACCTGAATTTTGCCTTGAACAAAGCAAGCTCTTGACAATGGACAAAACAAGCTCTCATAAATCCTACCAAACAAAATCAAGCCTTACTAGCGCTATGTACATCACAGCTTCTGTTAAACAGAAACAGAATCATCCAAATAAATACGCTAGCATAGACCCCCCAAAGAGTTTTCCATACTTGTGGGTAGCACCCTAGTGCTGTGTCGTTGTATTCAGCGTAGCGCAGCGCCCTACAGCAGCACCCTGGAAGAGCACCAGCATGCAAGCCATAGACATCTGGCAGCGGCACCTTGCAATGCACAGGCACCTCCTCCTATACTTGAAGTAAGAGCCCCAATAGCTGTCACATCTGTCACTATCTGGCAAAAAGGAACCTAGCGCACCAAAGCCTAGCTGGTGTTCTGGGGGCTTCTCTTGCGTGCCACATCACAAAAGTAATGTTGCCATGTTGTATAAACTCTTTAGCACCGACTTTTAGGCATCCAAACATGTAGCGAATGATCGAGCGACGTCGGTAGGTCAACCACAATGTCTTGGTGCCATGATGCCAATGATCTACACCCATGTCATGTGGTTCGAAAGACCACATCTAGTTGGTTGTTCCTCCCAATCAGTCAGTGTATCCTGGTCTTGACCCAAAGCCAGTTCTGTTCGATTCCATTTCATTCCCAGTTCCTGTCAGACAAACTGTCATCTCCTCCTGACCCGGCCTTGCGCTGGGCGCAAAGCAAGGCCGGGCGCTGCAAGAGAATGCCGCGCCGGACTGTCCAGGCTACGGGCGAGGACAGAAGGGCTCAGGAATTGCCGTGCCATGACCTCAGTGGTTGCCAATACTCCGCGGCCACGATGTCCGAAGGAAAAGTGGACTCAGCAGGGCGGATTTGCGGTGGACTCAGCGTTTTTGTTGAAATGCGTAAGAAAGAAAGGTAATGAGAACAACTCATGGATGTCCATTACTTGCGATGAATCATCATAGCTATTATGAGCCCTAAAAAGGCAAATAAACAAGTCTACCCGTCAGGTCAGGGGGTCTCCCTCTTAAAATACACACCGGATGTATGTATTTCTATGGCCTCATGTGGAGGCTTTTGAGTCCTGAAACTCCAAACACAAACCCGGAAGATGAAAAAAAACAGCCCAGATCTCGCAGATCTTGCAGATCCACTCTGTGGATGAGTTCCCCCTGAAGGCCCTGATCCAGCAAACGTTTATTTCACTGTCATTGTGCTGCTGGTCAAGTCTCCATGTAGGTCAAATGTATTCAAATGTCAATTCTTGGAGGTTTGGATGAGCTATAAATAAGGACATGCCCCGTTCGTCTCAGTCATGTTTTGACGCATTGTGCGGAACCAGGTGATGTCTTTGTTCTTGTGTTTGGAGTTCTGGCCTAGATGCAAGTTGCGCAACGAATTCTCAAAGGGTGCAGGCCTTCAACAAAGGGCCAAGAGCTGCTAATTAGAATCTCCCTCCATGATCACCCACAACATGTGAAACCCACCCTTAGGCTTTGATCTGTAATGATACACATATGATCATATATGTTGTATATATATATATATTTATACATATATGTATGCACCAGCACCCTCCAACAGGCCACCATCTGGCGCCTTTACGTCTCCAAAAGCCACCAGAGGAGACCCGGCTGATACAATAAGCACACTATCAACAAGTCACCTGGACCTAGCCCATCTTGGAGCCGGCAAGAATTGAAGCCCCTTAAAAATTGTGACCAGTGGAGCAAACTCATGTTTATTACTGTTTCTTTATATAAATGTGGGCTAGCATGCTGGGGTATGGCAGCTGAGAAGACAGGTATCGACCGATTACAGTGTCAGGACAACACATTCACAAAAAACACATCACCGGGTTCTCAAGGGCCTGCACCCTTTCAGAATTCTTTGCGCAACTTGCTTCTAGGCCAGAAGTGCAAAGGAGTGAGTGTTGGATCATTGCAATCTTTGGCTTCAATCAGGGACGAGAACCGAACCAAACAACAGCATCACCACCCCTGCCATCGCCCTGCTTCAGCCCAGAAACGGACTGAGCGAAAATGGCTTCATGCAAAGCCGTCCCGAACGAAAATGGAGGCGACAAAAGGTTGGCGACGAGGCACATGAATGCAGTCTTTCAACAACATGTTGATCCTCTTCAAGTGCCAAACGCACTGTTTGCATGCTCATGGTAATTACAGTGATCCGGTTGAAGCCCAAACCCTCTTTTGGAGGAGGGGACCAGGTCTCACTATATGTATATACATGTTGTATGTGTATATATATATATAGGTGTAACATCAATTGAGGGAGTTGAACGGTTGTTCCGGGAAGGACGCCAACATTGAATGCAACCTCAAATCAAGCCCAATTGCTCTACAATGTATATAGTTTAAACCTGACAGACATTCACCACAAACAACACTCAAATGTAGGAAAGCTCCTGGCTCGCTTGCGGCTAAAGAGTTGCAGGATATCACATGCTATGGAACACATGCCATGAGCAGCTGCAGCCCTTTTGCGACGTTTTACGACTTTTCTCTTCGCAATCTGGCGGGCTTAATCGACACCCCGCAGACCAAGGCCAAACCTGTAAACTCTCCCAGCATCACAGCCGCACAAATAACACATCGCTAGCGCTGTCTTTCCTGGCCACACAATATCAGTTCAACCAAACACCTCATCCACAGCGCTATTTTCGCATGAGACCTTCCCAACTTCTGGATGCGTCGTATACCAACCTCGGTCTGGTCCAACGGGGACGTCCGACGGTTGAAAACCCCGTCGCCGTATGTCGCCGAGAGAGGCCTCATTTGGCGGCCTGCGGAAGAGAGCGAAACCGGAGGAGTCTTCAAGACCTTCCACTCGAGGGGTGGATCTTTTAAATAAGAGCGCACTTAGGATTGTTTTTGGCAGGTATTATGATTGATGAGTGAAACATAGTGAAAGGAATCATAATCTTTGACAGAAAAGTGTTGCAATTCTCTTTTTGTTGGCCCCAGTCAGCTCAAACTCCAGACTCTTCTCCTGTCCTTCTCCAGCAACCAGTTGCCATGATCATCCACCATACGGGCCCTGACACGCGCCACTGGCGCCCGGCGAGTACGCATCTCAAATCAGCCTGAACAAGAATATATAAACGACCAAAAAGGCCCCTCGTAAGCAGTGCAATGATGTGTATGTCTATGTTCAGTGCAGTCTGAAACACACATTGGGACTATACGCAGTATAATCAACTAACAACAACAATATGTTAACACTTTAAACGTGTAAAAATATGTGTAAAAACTACCCCAAAAAGTATCGCATAGAGGATCTCCGTGCCCTCAAAGCCGCCAAACGCAACCTTTTCGTTTCGAGGGCAGCTCCGATCGGCCAGGCGAGTCCGCTAAGGAAGCGAAGCCGGTCTCCGCAGTCGATGACCTCTACAGTTTCGCATGCCTGTTGGATCCCTTCCACCAGGGCAATCCCATGTCCCGTTTCGTTTCTCCCCCTGCAACGTCAACACTTTTCACACATGCTCGCTAAGTACTGCCCACGTCCTTCTCCCAAAGATTCACCCCAAATCCAATTCCCACACACAATCCTTAAGCTCAAGGCCTCAAGGTCATGGTTATGCTCCCTACTGGAACCACATAGTCGTCACTCTCAGTCTCTACTCCTCGATCGCGCGATCGCCCGTCCACGGGTCGAAGCGTGCCAACCCTTCACGAACTTCAACTTGTCGGTACCCCTTCCGGATCGGGGAGAGACGAGTAAGCAAGGAAGCCAAACCGAGCGCTTCAAACGAGCGCGCGCTCAAGAATGGGGGTGGGGGGCGTGAGTCAACCGGTGTGGAGTGTCTTTGTGTTTTTTACGACCTATAATATAAAGTAAGGTGGTAGCACAACCAAGTGTCCTTATTCCCAGGGTGTACAAGCAATTACAGTAGGGCTCGCAAAATCTCTCGGCTCAAAGTTGAGTGCTAGGGATGATTTTCACGAAGAGCGCCTCATCATGTGATGTGCGTTTCCAAAAAGTCTAGACTTGTCCGTTTCGTTTCCCCTCAAAAACCACAGTCCCATTCCACGAGGAGGCGGAAATGCTCAAACCCTGGAGAACTGCCACGGGTAGCCGCGTGGTCGCATCTTGCGACAAACCACATTACCAAGCAAATTAGTATCCGTGTCACCAGACAAATATTTGGGTGGTTGGTGGTCTGACAAAGGGTCTACTATGGCTATGGGCTCCAGGTCGAGCCAATGTCAGTGCCGAAGTACAGTGAACGCAAATTCATTATCTATATACTAGACTAACAACATTAGTCAACATGAGTCACATGAGTTAACACCCCTGTTGAGCAAAGGTCTGTGAAACGAGGAGTTTGTGATCCTCACAAGAGAAAAGATCGTCAGCGCATCTTCTCCCAGCACTGGGTTGCTCGGTTGGGGATTTGGCATCAAGCTACTCTCACTGGGTTACTCAGCATCTCATCAGCAACAGTCAAGATGTGCAAATATTTGTTGAAGTTGTGTGCAGTATTGCAGTCTTGACATACCTTGCAAACGTTCACCAAATCACATGGATCTCTTCACCAAAAAGGACTATCCAATCAACAGCTTAACTGGATGCTCTGCTGTTTCGAACCCAGAGTTTTGGGAATTACTCGTCCTCATTCCGGAAGGCCGGATCCACGTCGTCGACGACCCACGTGGCGGAAGGCATCAGAGGGCCGAGGTCTCCAATGTCCTGTTGGGAATAATCAGAGGAATCGGTTTGGTACCATAAGCGGGATCGGTCAAGTCAAGACCTGGAGCCGGGCTCCAGTCCATCGTTTGAGAACGACCGACACCAGGTTCAACCAAGGTATCTGGGTGTCATGACCAACAAGCATAGATCTATTGGACCTATTGGTTGTTACACTTGGGAGTACCCCTTAACCAACCAAGGGCGTAGCGGCGTAGGTGAGGCCATCGGCAGTCTGCCTCGCCTAATCTCCACCATGTTCTGCTGCGGAAGTGCGGAGATAATGTTCACCGCCTAGGACGACAGAAGTCTGTCGTCGCAGAAGTCTGTCATTGGCGCCATTGGGACTGGTCATGGGGACTGCTCCAAAGAGGTGAAGGTCTGACATCTCAGCTTCTTCAAAGTGACCTCTTTGGAGTGCCTAAGTGACCTGAAAAACAAGCCCAAGTGACCTCAAAAATATCAAAAGGTATGTATATTTCATTATTTGCAAATTACGTACAATGATTTACATGAGGGACGGTCAACACTCCTGATGCTTCTTGTGTCGATAGCCCACATATATTTACATCTCCTTCTACATATCCTTAAAGCAAACATCATCACCATCCATGGAAATCATCGATTTCCGTGAGAAAAGCCCAGGCGACGCTAGGGGACATTGACCGATGCATCGATTCAAGTTAGAATGTATAGTAGGTAATCCGTCCGACTCCAAAATGGATAATGTGAGGTTTCTTTCTGTGTACTTTTTTAATCTCACGCGAGAAGAACATCATGTTTCATTCCAAACACGCCTGATGCTCCGGATCATTCGTTGCTCTTCCATCCGAACCCTGAGCCGCTCGAGCCCCTGAGCTTCCGAACCCTGCGTTCACTTTGCGAACGACAGGCCCTGGCGAAACTCTCATGATCAAACACCAGTAAGTAGGGTACAGGAAAAACAACCTGAACCCAACTTCAAGTACGACCGAACATGGGACATGACCCGAACAACAAACAGGTTCCACTTCCACTTTGAGACTCCAGGTACTCGAAGCCTCTAGTAGGACGCATCGAATAAAAACCGGTGTGTCCTGACTGTTTCTCTTGAGCCAGGAGAAGGTCAAATGCCGCCGCAAGCGTGTTGCAGAGAAAAGGGCCGACTGCCGCCCGGATGTTTCTTCTACAGATTCTTCCGCTCCCTGAAATCATCACAGAATTGGATGGCACGGCCCCTGGGATGACGATGTTCCAGATACCAAATAGGTGGTGAACTCCACGTAACCATGATGATTTCAGAGAGTGTAATCCTAGTTACAAGGGTCGTTTCAATTTGAAGGAGCTTCACAGTGCTTGTTCAGTCATTCATTGATCAGCCAGACCTCACGACCAACATGATTTCTCCCAACCCTACACCACCTTCGATGGTCCAACCATAGGAATTTTCCTCGCAACACATGCCTGGCAGGCATTTCGTTCACCCATTCCGTGGCATCCGCTGTGCGGTACAAATCCACCTGTTCCACGCATCCCGTAAAGACCTCACGGCTCGCTGCGGTTTTCATGTATGGCTCGCTGCATCACTGAACCCACATATTAGGATCTGTTTTCCTTCTCGTCGAGTGCGTGCGTGCTTGGACGCATCGTCTCTGGCAAAACACACATGCAAACATGAGTCCTCAAGTTTCGTGGGGAGCGGTGGGGAAGGAGTGACCTGGTCGTCTCATGTCCCTCCTCTCATCACCCTCTGGTGACCTGGTGACCCTCAGGGCCACACCCAAGTCTCTCCAGGCTTCGGCCAGGAACCTGACACCGTCGACGCGTTTGCAGGTCGAATGCGTCTGATGGAAGCGCTCAAACAGGGAAAGATTTGGCAGATGAACAACTTTCAGTATATACTTGCGTATATATGATATGAGCATGAAAACGGCAGGATACTGTGTGAACAAAACGTCAGGGTGCATCATTGATGTATGGTTGGATTTGTCAGCTGACTACACCGAAGAATTTCAAACAATGATACCCCCAACCTGTGAATTCAAACCGCCAACTTTCCCAAGTTCCTTCTTTCCCTGCCCGCGAGAGTGTCCATCTGCAAATCATTTGAAACAATAACTGTGCCTTTTCCAATCCTTTTCCATCCGCTCTCAGTTGAAGGTTGAAAGTACAACATAGTACAACAGTACAAGATAGTACAAGTACTTACAGTCTACGTTAGCTCGTTGACGGCCAGCCCGTCCCACCCTCCCACCCGTGCCGCTCGTCGATCCAACGAGTGAAGGCCGACGCAAGCGGAAGATTTCTGTGCCTTGGCCACCAGAGGTCATCCAGGATACAAAGCCCCTGAGCAAGGATTGTCAAGACGACAGTCAAGACATCACGAACAGTGGAAGTCTTGGCCAAACATCGCATGATTCGGAATTGAGTCAAGAGCTGCTGAGGGCGGCTTGGGCGGCTTAGATTAGCTTTTCAAAGGGAGACCCCTGATAGTCCAGGACCCCGCGGTAAGTCTTCCCCCATCTTCCCTTCTCACAGTGATACATCGCAACAAGCCTTCAATAAGCTAATATAAGCCACCACTATTAATCACTCTTGCAGGTCTTCTTGCTCCTCAGCGGGCCTGGTGGCCAGTTGACTCAATGTCTCTGAGCCTCCGGTCAAGTACTGCTGAACATGCTGAACATCCAAAGTGTCAGAACTAGTTGCATGATACCAGACGATACCTATAGGACCTATAGAAAAAAAAGAAACAGTAACTACGTAGTAGGTGTCCTTCATCACCCCTCCATGTTGTCCACAACCAGTCATGGAACTGTTCCACCCCGTCATCCCCGTCCGATGGGGTTCGTCTTTTCGTCCTCACCCCGTGCACCTCGCATTGGAGCCCAGGTCACCCCCGGCAGATGCCAGCCTGCCCGGTGGGTGGGTGGTGAAACTCCGACTCTTTGAACAAAGGCACGGTGGATGTGGAGCATTCAGATTTCAGCACTCAGATCTTTCGTAACAAGTGCCATCAAGTGCCATCATATAGCCAGGTCATGGTCATGTGAAACATGCTGACCTTTGAGCATGTATATTGTATAACAGTTTATGTAAAGACCTCCGAAAACCATCAACAACCAACAAACGACGTGAACAACAAACACATCTCCGTTTGAACTATTTGAGAACACTTTGAGTGGGTCCAGAATGTCCAATGAAGTCTAAGGCCATCTGTCACAAATCTGGCCAGAAGCCAGGAAGTGCAGTGCCCCGCTGATTTTTGTGATGCTCCAGTTTCCGGTCACCTCATTTGTTGCCCGAAAATCTCCTGAACACATCCCCGGGCACTGGTTTACCTCCCCGGACCGCCCCGAAACCTGGCACTCCTCGCCTGGTGAAGGGCTGAAAGGACCCCGTCCGCGTGATCGAGTCGCCGTTGCTGCCGGTACTCCGGAAGCTCTGCGGGGACGTGGGCTCTGGGACGGAACCCGCGGAACCGGCGGGTCCGCGAGCGGCATGCTGCCTCGGTGCGAACAAAACACCGTCATCAGTGATATGGAAAAGAACGGTATAGATGCTTGAGCAAGGTTTGTCACCTGGAGTCTACTGCGGGTGGAACAAAGGTTTTGCCACGGATTGCCATGAATTCTTTCCAATCACAGGATCCGCTCAATCCAGCTCAAAAGTTAAAGAAATAGGACATGCCGGTGAATCCCAACATTGCTCTGCTCATTTTGCTCTGCTCCCCATCTGAAAATCTGAAAGCATCGGAAAAATGTCTAGTCTCTAAGCAGAGCTTCCTCAGTGTGCCTCTTGTTGATCTGCGGCGTGAAAGCCGTCTTTTGAATTCACAGCTTTGTACTTGTGTCTGCGGATGTTTCTCTAGTTTTCCAATGTGTTTCGGATATTTGGTCAAAACAGAACCAGGTAGCCGGTATTATGTGGGTAACAAGTCACAACCGGCAAAGGCCTGGTCCCCAATGTGGGTCGCTGAGTTCGGGATGGTCAAGTTTGCCAACGAGCTGCAGCGCTGAAAGGCACCATTTCCAATGTGGTTCACTGAGTTCGGGATGGTCAAGTTCGCCAGAGAGCTGCAACCAGCAAAGGCATAATTGCCAATGTGGGTCACTGAGTTCGGGATGGTCAAGCTTGCCAAAGAGCAGCATTCCTGAAAGGCACCATGTCCAATGTGGGTCACTGAGTTCGGGATGGTCAAGCTTGCCAAAGCGCTGCATTCCTGAAAGGCGCCATTTCCAATGTGGGTCACTGACTCTGAGATGGTCAAGTTTGCCAAAGAGCTGCAACCCTGAAAAGCGCAAACTCCAATATGAGTCACTGAATTCGGGATGGTCAAGTTGGCCAAAGAGCTGCAATTCTGAAAGGCGCCATTTCCAATGTATACAGAAGCTACAGGCGTTGATGGGTGAGCCACCGGTGCTCATCCCGAACGTGTGTCTGAGAAATCGGATGTGTACTTGGGGATGCGCAGGTGAGATTCGTGGGATTCACAGACCTATACCGAGCTCGGCGGTCCGGAGCTCCGGTGGGAGATCCGAAGGTCCGGCTTCGGAGACCTCGTCCGGAGCGGTCCGAGCGTGGGCGATGGCTCGTCAAAGAAGTCAAACAGATCCATTGGCCTGGGGCGGAGATGGAAGTCGACGTCTACGACCAGTCGAACTTGGGTTGCGGAACTGTTGCGGTGCTGGAGAAGAAGCTCGTCTGTGGTGTGGGACTCCCTAGATACTAGACACCCAAAACGGATCGTGGTGCTATGGCCATGTGATCACCAAGGCCTCTTGCACCGTTCAGAAAAATGAAAGGGCTAAAGGGAAGGGCCAATCTAGCAAGGGGTTGGAGAACTCCCAGCATCTTGGCTCCCTGTTTTCTTGGGGAAATATGGACGCCCGCTCCGTAGCTCCCTCCTGAGCCAACAGCTTAGCAGCAGTTTCATGATCAACGGGTGGGGCCAGCAACGGGGCGGAACCCCTTTCAGCGGCCTTGCTCACGACGGGGGATCCAACATGACCAATGACACATGAAACGGAGTGAAACGTGAGACACCAGCCACAGAAGGATCTTGAGAAGGCCAAGCCAATGAAGCATGAGACAGGGGGAGCCAACCATTGTTGCTCTGCAAGTGTTCATCAAGTTGGGCTAGGCTCTGAAGGATGAATTTTCAGACACAAAAACAGATGAATGGACGCCATCCATACCTAACCATTGGACCCAGCGATCAGTCGCCCTTGCCCAAAATACAATCAGTTTTGTAGGAACATGCAGGTCATAAATCCCTGTTATAGAGTATATAATACCATGTCCACTTTAGGAAAGAAAAAACACCACACCCACTGTCACGCACAAAACGTTATCTAAAGGTTATATACAGTAACCGTTTTGTCCACCGCTCATGTTGGTAAAACTCTTCACCCCGTAGAACATGTCTATCTTTCACATTGAAAGGCCCCGCCCCTGAGGGCGCCAAGGCCCTGTCTTCTCTGCAGCACCGGCCAGCTCGACCACCTGAATGAGCTCCGTTCACAAGCGAACGCGAGCGGTCAACAAGTTTTCGCACACGAGCCGTGTGAGTATGAATTTGAGTGTACTAAATATGTACCTGGAAAATGGATGAAAATGGGACATGACAAGTACCGTGGAAAAAACATCCGTCATCCAAAAGTACTTTGAGACTCCAGGTTTCACTTGCCATGTGAGGTCGAATAGGCTTCGCATGTTTGAATCCCCAGGTCAAACGCACGCGCACACACACACACACACCCCAGTAGGAATGGACTCAAGGCTGACAAACACCACACACGTGCATATTCTCTCTCTCTATATATATATATACACCCTACTTAGCCTCTAAAGACCACTAAACGAATGATTGACCTGACTGGACGTACGTAGTTCTTCTATTTAAACTTTAACCAAACGGAAAATTCTCCGGGCGACCCGACAGGTGGCTGGACGGGAGGCGGCAGTGTTGCCCCCACGTGTTGCACGGATGTCAAGAACTCCTCGCAGAACGGCGGATCTCCGTGAAGGTCGGAACGGCCGGTCCGAGTCTTCTTTTCGAAGCTCCACAAACGATTTGTTGGGTGAGTGTGGATGGGAACATCTGTATATCAAATTATGTCTATCAGCTATAATATACATATATATATATATTATATATACAGTATAATAGTATATATATATGTTATATGTGTGATGCATATATCATAAAACCGGGTCAGTTTTCGGGGGTGTAGTTGCTACATCAAAGGCTCTTTGTGGACTGACAGGGGCTGACGGTCAACAGTTGTATGTCGAGTTACATCAATGAGGGCTGCATGATCCTCTTGCTCCCACCCAAACCAGCTACTCACTACCTAGCTACGCTGGCTCACGTCGCTGGCAGGTTCTCGCTCTGGTTCGGTCCGGGTTCGCTTCGACCCTGCGAACTTCAGGTGGCGCCATGGGCGCTCTGGGCTCAGGGTCCCTGAAAGCTCCAATGGCATAGAACAACAAACCCAACGCAACGCCGTATACTCAAGGTTTGAAGAAGGAACTGGTGTTTTTTCTCCGAGATTTCGGTGGTTCTTTGATTTGTGACACCCATAGGCCCGATAGGCGTTCGGGACAAAGAAAGCGATGTCTGAGCAAGTCGTACATCGCTTAGCGAACCGCTCTTTCACGCTCAGCACCCTCCGCGATAGGCGTGGGGGACCCGAGTCCTCAGGGGGGTCTCAAATCCTCAAATCCCTACACTCCGACTCACTAACATGGAAGTGGAACACCCACTGTTTATAGAGGAAAGTAGTCTTCCAAGTGATCATTTTCCACTTCCATGTTAGTGAGTCAGAGGGTAGGTTTTGAGGGACCGTGAGTTTGGCCTGTTTGGAGTGTTTGGGAGAGAATATTGATTGAGTTTGGCCTGTTTGGAGTGTTTGGGAGAGAATATTGAGATCCACAACCAGTAACCAACATTCATTTTTTTCTCAAACGCTCACAGACCTACTCCGCATGCAAAGTAACAGGAACGGTATTTTGAATTGTGCCATCTACTATTGTTGGAGAGCAGGTGTGCGAAAATAGGGAAAAAACCATCTGTAGATGGCACTACCCAGGTGCAGGCAGGCATTGGCAAAGGCGTTCCATCTACCCAGTTGAAAGGGGCTTTTAGTTTAAAGGTACAATTTGTTGCCGGATTTTTTTTGTTTCACGCGTAAAGTGAAGAACCGCGAGGGCTCTGGAAGCATAAGTTTGTGCGTATCAAGCCAAAAAGGCCTCAGTAGATGGCACAATCCAAATTGCAAAATAGCAAATCTTGATGGTGATGGATCACACAAAACTCAGCATAGATGGCGCAAAGCGCGCTGAAAGGCGTTCCATCTACACCGTGAGTACCTAGTTGGCACACGGTGTACTCAAAACTGTAGTCATTGCGCAATCTACCTCTCCCATTTGCTTTGATATGCGCTTGGCTATCCACGCTATTTTCCAAAACTAGTTGCGCCATCTACCTCTCGAATTTGCCTTGATATGAGCTTTTCCCAAGCCATCAAATGCCAATTTTTTCTTTGGATGCTCGCATTCTGTTTTCCACATTCTCCGTTCCATCTACCCATTTTGGGGGCATCGTTGTTGTGCCATCCTTTTTGCGATGAGTGTAAGTAATTAGCGATCAAAGCCTCAGCCCGTTGCACTAGCAATTACATGTCTGAATCTTTTCTTGCGTGATTTGATACAAGCAAGTACACCAAGCAGGTAATTGGGCACCGACCTCCTTCCAATCCACTCCTTTGGGGGGACGGTCCGCCAGCACGAAACCAGCCCCGCCTGCAGTAGCGTGCGTCCCCGACGTTGGCATCCTGGCGCCGACGTTGGCGACCTGACGGCCTTTCCGGGAGGCGAGACGTGCTTCACCAATCGGAGCCAGGGAGCTACTTGTATAGATGAGGCTGGTGTCAATAATGCTTTGAGATGCTTTCAGGTTTAAGTGTTTTTAAACTATTCCATATGGACTGTTGAGGGGTACTGGTGTCTGAAGCGCCGACGATCTTGAGTCGCTGCAGGATTTGAGAAAGCTGTGCCCAAAGGCATACCTTAAGGGTACCCAACAATCTATATAACAATTACAGTCCATCTGCGAATCCCAACAACTTCAATGAGCCTATCAGGCCTATATCATTTGAAGTACCAACGACCCCCCGTAAATACCCTGTCCTCATGCGCTATGAAAGGTCTGTGGGGATGTTGGGGGCAACTCACCCGGTTCCCCTTTCAGACCATTTCAGACCGGCTCAGACCTGGCTCAGGCCTATCATTTGCAAAACAAGTTTCTTGCCACCCTTCTCCCCACCAAGCACTCTTCAGTGGTCCAAGTTGTCGACCTCTTGGACTTAGACAGGCTATATATATATATATATATAGGCATGTAGGCACCTCTTGGACCACTCTTGGAAGGTTCTCGGATAGATCAACGTCTTTTCCGATCAAAAGGACTGAGAGATCCCAGCTCAATGCTTTTTGAAAGTTCTGCACCCCTTTTGAAATCCTTTTCGCGGCTCAGTCCTTGTCTGCGGATGAGGAAAACCAAAGGCTAAGAAACCCCAATCTAGAGTCTATAGTTTGGTTGCATATTTCTTATCCCCATTTAAGAAATATTCTACACTCTACCCCAATTTGTTTTTCTTAATACAAAGTTCGGCCGTTTTGTGTAATATTATGTAATTAATTATAGATACAACAATGTTGTCGTTGTTGCTGCTGTTGTTGTTGCTGCTCATGTCGGCGTTGGATGGCGTTGGTCGAAGAGTTCCGAACAGTCCATCCAAAAGAAGCGCCAAAACCGTGTCCTGTCTTCAATTTGCACCAACCCTTGGCCACCTCCTTGGTCGGCAGCAGGGGTTCGGCAGTTTTCAAACCGCATGAATTTGTGCAACTTTCTGGGTCAGTGGGGTGAGAGAGAGAGAGAGAGATTTGAAAAGGACCCCCTGGCTCAAAACGGCTCATGGCTCTCCAAAGACCAACGGCTCTTCTCACGGCGCTCCACAGCTCCACAAACTCGCCCGGTCTCTCCCGCACCGCCGAGCTCGGTGACTCCCGATGTCCCATCCGCCGCTTTCTGCTATTGGTATATACCTGACCTGCAAACGTACCTCGGAGTCTACATGTTCCAAGGTACTTTAGAGAGTCCAGGTAGTTGGAGGCACTATCAGCGCTATAAGTTGGGTATACTGTTAGCTGTTGGGTATTTTCGATTACGAGTAACCGTGGATGATGATCTTTACTATGATGATCTTTAGTAAAAAACCTTTGTCTAAAGATAGGGATAATTGTCTACCGACTGTTACAAATAAAGGGACAGTAAAACTTTAAAGCCCATAGAACTGAGCCTTTTTTGACAGTTGCATTCGGGAGACAGTCGGTGTTCTGGTACATTCAATACATTTAACATCCGAACACCTCTATTTCTGTGGAGTCCCCCTAGTATTTTACTCTATTCTTTCCTTCTGTGTGAAGAAGCCAGTCTCTCCCTCTCTCTCTCTCTCTCTCAAAAACGGCTATGTACGGTGCCCATGGCACAATGTCCACATCATGCAGCCTGTCCTTCCCGGACTCAGGCACCCACAAAGTCATGGCGTGTTCGAAAGGTACCGCCCTGGCACCGGCGCTGATGCTGAAAGCACCGGTCAGGTCGAACAAACAAACTGTACCAAGAGTATAGTGGGTAGTCTTAGAGATCTCCAGCGAGGACACCCAAACAGGATGGCCCTGGTACAGTTGAAGTTGAGAAGAATGAGTGAGCAAAGCATCACGGAGTGGTTGTCTATATGGCTGTGGGTGAAGACTAGAATCACTTGGTTAACCTACCGACGAGACTTCCACATCGATCCAACCTTCATCGTTTGATGGGTACCTGGGAGTAGGGGAGGTAAGCTAGTAAGCGTGGATGTTGTACCCACGCATCCCAAACATGAATTGCCATGTGATGGACACAAGGGTTGCACACTATACACACCATGTCAAACACCTCCAACTACGTGAAACCGAATGTCCGCGCTGCAAGTAGAAGGCCCAAGACAAAGACAAATGCACCAATTTCAAGCATCCAATTCGGCGGTGGTGGGGGCGCTAAAGCATCAAGATCACCATGTCGATATCCCATCCCCATATCCCAAATGCCTCAAATCTACACGAGCCCCTCAAATATCCTCAACCCACTGCAGGATAGATGTACATCTGGCCCATCGAGAGTTTGATGATGATGATCTTTGATGCCTTCTGAAGACCACACTGTTCTCAACTGGCGATCTCCCCTCGTTCTACACACGGGTCGAGTGTACAACTCCAAGACCTGCATGGACCTCGTTCCGCGTTCCGTTTTTTTCTTCGAAAAACCACGTTCCAGGTTCCCCTGGTGGGGGTGCTGGCCACTTGCTGTGACCGAGTGGTGTTTGTGACCGAGTCCCATGAGCATCGTGTCGACCACCGTGGTGCTCTCGCAGTGTCCACCGTGGTGTTCTCGTGCCGTCGCCGCGGGTTTCAGTCGAGGGATTCGCGGGGCGTGACGAGCACTTCCAAGGGTTTTCATAAGTCATAAGCGTTCTATCACTGAAACACACTGTCTCCGTCTTCGGCCAATCTGGCAGTCCCTTTCCAGTCCCTGGCGTGCAGGCTCGGCTCCCGTGCCGCAAATTTCTCGCACAATCTGGAGATGCATAACACCTGGTCTGGCTGATCCAGCTGGGGAGACTGGAGGATTCCGGTCGCCCTTCCATGGGTTTAATTGCTTTTTCACTGAACAAACATTGTTGTACTATCTTCTACCGTGGATTTGACAAACCAGGTCACTTTCCAACTCTTCGGCCACGTCGCTGGCAAGTGGGGAAGCTCCAAGTTGGAGCTCCAAACGGCTCCTTGTTGATATAAAAGGATTTTTTTGGAATTATGATACCCTCTGGTCATCCATCGTATTGAATTTAGGGAAAACAAAATTTGTTGTAAGGGACTCTTGCAAAGCTAGTTGTTTAATATGATACATATGCGATATGTGTATATATATATATATTCCCAGTATAATTGGACACTCCAAAGACCAATAATAAACTTGTAATATTTTCGGTCTGGTTCTATCTACTCCAGGATGCTTGTATAGAAACAACTACATACAGTAGTGGGCATTAAATTAAAGGTGGACTTCTATGAAAAATATTTGGATTCACCGCTCCTGATTGCTCCCTCCTGACCACCAGCTAGTTCAACATCCAACAATTCCTGCGTCGACCGAGCTGGTCGCTTCCGGGGCTTTTTCTTGGAGCGTCCTATCAGAATGTATATACACCCTTAAATCCACTGCCACCTTCTCAGGTTTTGGTACCACTGGACCCTCCCAAACCGCAAAGTGCCTCCCTGTGAGAACCCTCTCTGAGGATAGCGCCAGAAGGCACCCATTCTGCAAAGGTGGTACGCAACAATTCCTTCACCATCATCCCTGCATAGTCTTTTGAATCCATTGAACATCCGTGCCGTCCCCTTCGCCACTGTCAGACTATCAGTCAACACTACTGTCAGAATCTGTCAGACACACACGACATCAGGAAACAAAAGCTCTAGACCACCCAAACCACAATGTATCTGCGTATCTATCAATCACTGAAACCGAGACCCAAATCCTGGTTGGTCAGTGGAAACAATGCAACGGTCCGTGATTCAACGGGATGGTCCTTGCAAATGCACAAATCATTCCTGAAACACAAAAAACGCCTCCAGTGAAACTGAGTGGAACATTACAAAACAAATGAACAACACATGACAAATATCAACATATATCAACATCTTCTTTTGAGGAATTGAGGACTGTTGCGGAGATTTGTGTATTCTTGTTTGTGATCATGATAGTAGTTCCATGATTCCAAACATCTGCCGCGCAGTTTGTTTCAGCAAAAACAATGAATTAGTTGCAACATTTCTGAGAACTTTGCGGGGGATTGCAGGATTCCGGAAATTATCCTATCCTATCTTGTACGCCATTGCGCGGGCAAACATGCATAAAAACACAGCATTTCCTTTGGTATAGTCTCGCTCTGCTTTTCCTTTGTACCTTAGCCTATAAAGTACCTTAGCCTATAAAGCCAAAAGGAATTCCACACTTTATCAAATTATGTGCATCCACTTTGTCAGCATCTCGTACTGCAAGGTATTCAAATTATCAATTGAATAAACACGCACAATCAATGCATAAACCAAACACCATTCACATCTCCCAAAATTTGACTTTAATGTTTTAGTTGGCTCAACATTCATAGAATATTTGCACACATTTTTGTTTTTTTTGATTTTATGTGGTCAACATGTGGTCTATGAGGCATCTGATACCAACAAAAACTGTCAAATTCAATTGAACAATGCCTTTGTAACGATGCATGACGAGATGGATTATCAACAAACCTGTTTCTCAAGTTACAAAATGCAGAGACAGTACGATAACTAGTACTTACGGTAGATTTACCAGAAACACACAAAAAAAACTCCTGCCAATCCAATTAAGATGCAAGGACCACCGCTGTGCCCCAAAAAACCACCTCGTCCCCCGCCGGTCGCCGGTCGCATTCGGTCGGCCGCGGCACGAAGCAACGCGTGGAGCTTTCGTTGGAGCCGATGAAGTCATAGGACCTGGCCCCAGGGTGGCGCGACTCCGGTGCCAACCACGACTCGACTCTATGGAAAATCCAGGACCTTCAGTGCGTGTACTTGAGATCGGATTTTGGGGTTCACTTATACAACGGCCTGTAAAAGTGGTCACAAAATGTCACAGCTGCTCGGGGTCACGAAGTCAAGGCACGATACAACGGCACTTCCCTTCTCCCAGCAGTTGTAATTTTGGTAGTTTTATCGACTCGTGATGTGAAATGATTCACGAACACCACTGATCCTCCAATTCACCAGATGGAATGCATTGCGCTGTCTTATCCCTAACCACCTATAGGATCCCCGTGACAAAACAGGGTATAGGGGGTCTTGCCACAGATTCTATAGCTATGAAATGGTCGTATAGCCACCAGCAAAGGGACATATTTGTCTGGCCCCACCAAACTTGAAAAACTTTTTTTTCACCAGGCGAGACTCTACCTGAAAAACTGGACCCAATGATAATCAATGCATGCTCAAAACGTTTCTTTTCTGATGTCTCTTCACACTTCTGCAATTTGCACACGAAGTCGAGTGCAAAGACTGCTCTTTTTCCCCAGATAGAGGCAGGCTATAGGGGTTCCAACTTCTTAATGGTGTGGCTCTGGATCGGCGTGTTCGTTTTGCAGGTGCTGCTGCCGTGCTGCTGCTGGTGCTGGCTCTGGATCGTCGTTTTGGCTGCTGCCGTGCTGGTGCAGGTGCAGGTGTTGGCTCTGGATCGGCATTTTGGTTTTGCCGGTGCTGCTGCCGTGCTGATGCTGGTGCTGGATCGGCATTTTGTTTAGCTGGTGCTGGTGCCGTGCCGGTGTTGGTGCAGGCCCTGCAGGCTCTGGATCGGCGTTTCGTTTTGCGGGCGCTGCTGCCGTGCTGGTGCAGGTGCTGGCTCTGGATCGGCATTTTGGTTTTGCCGGTGCTGCTCGGCGTTTTATCTCGCTGGTGCTGGCGCCGTGCTGGTGCTGGTGCAGGGGCTGGCTCTGGATCGGTGTTTCGTTTTGCGGGCGCTGCAGCCATGCTGGCAGTGCTGGTGCTGGCGCTTTCGTTTTGCGGGCGCTGCTGCCGTGCTGGCGCTGGCGCTGGCATTGGCTCTGATCGTCGTTTCATTTTGCGGGCGCTGCCGCGCTGGTGCTGGTGCTGGCGCTGGATTGACCTTTTTTTTTGGCCAGTGCTGGCGCCGTCGCGTTTCACAGCCCGCCCGTGGCACATTGCTTTGTATAGTTGTGTTCACAGCCCGATACAACAACTCGACCTTTTGACTCGAGCTGTGCTTGCCAAATCTTCCCGGCCGATCTGTACATTGCAACAGCAATGCTTTCCACTATCGCCTTCTCCAAACAATCACATCAACTGCAAACCCTGAATTTAGCCACCATGTGTAGAGCCAGCAAATGTCCAAGCCCAAGTCGCCACGGTGCTGGTCCAGACGCTGGCTCTGGATGGGTGTTTCGTTTTGCGTCATGCCAGAAATGATCATGTCACGCCAGGGATGACATCAGGTCACGCGCATCATATCACGCCAGACATCGTGTCATGTCCAGAATGACATCATGTCGTGCCAGGGGTGACATCAGGCGTCAGGCCAAGGCTCCCTTTGTACATATAGTCAGTTCTGCAGACCTTGCTTGCTTGCTTCAAGAAAAAAAGGGCAGGCCATCATGACATCCCTGGGGTGGCATCAGGTCATGCCAGACATCATGTCATGCCAGGGGTGACATCATGTCATGCCAGTGGTGACATCATGTCCCGCCAAGGATGATGTCTTTTCATGCCCAAAAAGACATCATGTCATGCCAGGGAGGACATCATATCATGCCCAGAATGAGAGGATGTCACTGCAGGGATGACATCGCGTTATGCGAGGGATCACATCATGTCATGGCAGGGGTGACATCATGTCATGCTAGGGCACGTCATGCCCAGAATGCCGTCATGTCATGCCAGGAATGGACACCGTGTTGCGCAGCAACGATCATCATGTCGTATGGGCAGCTTTGGCCGGTCCTTGCCGATCTTGCAGTTTTACGTCTGCGTTGGGCAAAACGGGCGCATTCAGCTGTTAGATGTTGCGCATAGTGGTGGACTGGTCTGATGTTGCGTGCTGCGGTGACAGCCGTCCATGGTGTGTCTTTTGAACTTATACACCCGCCATCTGGGGTCTAATCTATGCTGGTATAATTTGTCTCTTGTGCTTTCATCCTATGTCTCGGCGTATCTCAGCGTAAATCACGCCACATACCAACTCATTACATGTCATGAACAAGTGTAGCAAGAGCCGTCCACGGAGTTGATCAACAATCAATGACACTACATATCAAGCGCCCATTTCTATATAAAATCAACGTCAAACGCCTTCAAGGGACCCTCTCATACAGCGTTTTTTCCATACCATAACTCCCTAGATTTCATAGTACACCCGGGTCCTATAGGCCTGACACCGTTCTAAACCAACACCCCAATCGCAATCCGCAATCTGAGCAGTCCGAAATATCTGGACACATGGGGTCTGGACCTGGTACGCTAGCATACCCTGCGCAGTAAAGGTTGTGGCCCAAGACCTCTTCAGGCTTGCACCTGTAAAATTGGACTGCAAATCTCTGATTCTTGAGAATTTGGATCGGGCGCCAGCAACCCCGACAGGAGTTGAAGACCAAGACCTCTACTTTGGGGTCCCAGATCACAGCAAAACCCAATGAGGTCGAAGATCTCTTCTTCGGGGTTTGGATCAGGTAGCCCAACGGAAGCTCCAGGATTGAGCCCATGTTGGAGGCCTGGGTTGGCTTAGACTCGAGAAATACAACCCGACCACGGAACACGGCGAGTCTTCGCCCAAGCCAGCGCAGCTCTTTGTGACATGGCTGTCAGTTGGCTCCACAGGCTTGTTTTGCAGCCTGCTGTGGCACAGATCCCTGCTTGCCCCTTGGACCACAAGGACTGTGAGGTCTGCCACTTCACCTGCTGCAGCCAATGCAAGCAAATCTCTTTGCCAATGCCCGCAATTCCGCTGGATGATTGTTGCTAGAGTCCCGCAGTGTTCTCAAGCACCTGAGATCTCTTTCTACCGCAATGACAAAGCCAATTTAACCAAGAGCATACCACTCGCCGCATGGCGGGGCAGCCTTGCATGTGAGCAGCTTCCACAAACAGACCTCTCTTTTGGAGACAGCTGCTTCTCACCAAGGAAGGCTTGAAACAAATTGAGGTTTGCCTGTCCAGGCTCGCCTCAAAACGTCTAACGATTTGAGCCCTCCGGATATGGCCGGAAAAATAGGCGGGCCAAAACGCCAAGTAGCAACTCTAATGTAGACGCTTGGTTATGATATAAGCATATGAAGACGTTTTACACTCCAAAATGGGATGATTTTTGTAATCACGATTTCTATTGCTACATCTTGTTGCGGCATCTATGTGCAATCTTGAGCCATCCAGCCATCCACGACTTCTGAAGGGAAATCTGGTGGATTGGTTCATTGTTTGGACCCCAAAGTTCGAGCTAATTAGTCATAAATAATCATCTTCCATGGAACAGGAATATCAAGAATATCCTCCTGGCACAGCACCTGGCGACTCAAAAAGCGACTCGTGCCTCTCTCCGGTGATGACCGAGAAGCACAGCCAAGGCATCACCTACATTCCGAAACCGTGAATTCCTTTCGAACCAGTGCCTTACACTCCAAGTGCAGTGATTGGTTGGGTGCTCTGTCTTCAAGTTTGGTTCTGGGTTGGTTTCAGGGGTCAATCCAAATACATTACATAAATCTTGTGTTCGCGTGGAGTCATTCATGGAGCGCCCGGATGCTGCGGATGGAAGAACATGGAAGAACTAACAGAGAACGTCTCCAAACGCAGTAAACCGTGTAAACGGGTATCCACCATTGGCCACCTCAGGTGGTGTCTGAGTTTCTTCCATCGTGCGCGACCCGACTTTGGTTGCGGTGCTCGATCCAAGGCGGTCCAACGATCGGGTGTGGAGCCCAGCAGCGAGGGCGATCGGCGAGTGAAGAACTCATCTTGACCGGTGAAGAGTGAAAGCGAAGCCGCAAGCGACCACTGCAACATCAAGAGCCCTTCATGGAACAATTGAGTTCTTAATCCCCTCAAGTTCTTAATCTCAACAAAAGAAACAACACTAGGCAATTATGTAACCTGGTTGCCCCCATGTCTTTCAATCTCATTTTTTTTGTGACCGCGATCCACCTGCCTTCCACGGTCCTGCGTTCTTTCAAGCCCCGCAGTCCCGGCGGGAGGCCTCGGGAAAGAGCTTCGCCGCCCGTGCGGAGGGGCCAAAGTCCAAGCGCTGCACCTGGATGGGTCGTGTCTGTGGCGAAGGTGCTAATTTTTTTCGGGAATGAGGTCAATGAACAAAAGTTCATTGATGCTCATTGTAGTTTCCTTTGGAATGGATCCAACATGATCCCAAGGTTTCTTCCAGTTCCACTCGGTTCAAACTGATTGATGAAGTAGATTCCTTTAGAACCGTTCCCTCACTGAGCACTCGTCAGATGAACTGACAGGTGAAGAAATGTGGAAAACTACGGGCTAGCCAAGTATGTCGACTGGATGCCTGTTACGTCATATGTTCGGAACGAGCATTTCCCGGTCGATGGAGGCCATTCGAGAATGGCCACCAGCGAAGCGGCTTAAAAAGCATCCACTGGGTATGGGAAAGCTCTAGTGACTAGTAGTGAAATGGTCTTGGGATGAACAAACACTTAGCTCAGAAATCAAACACACGGCCAAAGGAGCGTCTGAAGGCGATCTGGTCCAACCCGGAAAAACACCGGGGCTCGAAGATGACATTGGTGTGCAGGAACCGGGAAAAACAATTCCCCAGAAGGGGACTCACCCAGTCCGGGAAAATAAAAACACCCCACCCCTTTGAACAAAATTAGGAAGCCCCTATAAGCAAACCAGGAAAACCATTGGGTCGGTTAAAAAAAATCATTTTTCCCCGCTAATGTGCATTCTATGTGAGTCAATCGAATGAAAACGACCAGTATAGGCATATTGGGTTGCGACAAAATGCCCTCTTTTGTTGCAGCTCCTGTCAATAGCTGCGACAGGCCACTATCAAAGCCCTTTTTTCTTGGCAATGAATTTTTCCCCCCCAACTCCAAAAAAAGTCAGGGCTTCAGGGCTTCTACCAGTCTAAAGCCATCTAAAACCTATAATACCATCAGATTCCCCAAACCTGGACGTCGAAAAACCACCTCTTCGTCAAGGAAACTATAGACCTCCCCTGCTTGGCCTATGCCCAACACACGCCACTCAGTTCAAAAAGACACAAAATGGAACCCACGAACCCGAATGCACCACGCACACTCGAAAACAAGCGGCCACAAATTGTTTGACACTCTTGTAGAGGACACTCTTGTAGAACACTCTTGTGGGACACTCTCGTGCGACACTCTTGTGGAACACTCTTGCGGGACTCGTGTGACATTCTTTTGCTTTTGCAACATGCGGGACACTCTTCTAGGACACTCTTGTGGGAAAAATTGTCCTGGGCACTCTCGTGCGACACTCTTGTGCAACACTCTTGTGGGGCACTTTTATGGGACAGTCAAGTACGACGCTCACGTACTCAGATGTAATTTGGCTACATTTGCACTGCAAAGTTGCCAGCTCTGAATCCACAGCTCCCAGACGCTGCTTCCCGCACTACATCTGTACTACAAAGTTGCTAGGTCTGAGGCCACATCCGCACTACATTTGTACTACCAAGTGGCCAGTTCTGATTTGAGGCCACAGCAGTTCTGAGGACAGCTCGCCGTAGTACATTTTAAGTGGCCTGTTCTGAGGTCACGTCCGACACTCTGGTAGGAGACTCTCGTGGAACACTCTTGTATAGGCGGTGGTGACGATGGTGATGGCGGCGGCGGTGATGGGAAGGTGGTGTTGGTGGCGATGGCGGTGGTGATGGTGGGTGGTGGTGATGGTGGTAGTGATGGCGTGCAGGCTTAGAATTGAAAGCTCATGTCCAGACTTCTACCCTGAGTCGCGAAGATTAGTAAAGTTACTATTCTAGTAAAATTACTAAATCCAAAAAATACATATTTTTTGGGATCATTTTTAAAAACACTTAATTTGAAGGACACAGGGTGGAACACACCAAAAAAAACGTATACACTATTGATGCGTTTTCAAAATCAGGTAAAATTTGTCTATGTGAACAAATGTCCTAAAAGTTGCTACTTCGCTGAAATTTTCCGAAGTGAAACATGCCACAAAAGTTTGATAAAATAGTCGTTTGTTCACGTTCACCAGCACCAAATCAAGAATTAAACACTTATAAGGTTTGAAAGAATGCTCGGGTAAATCTTCTAAAAAAATGCTCAAGTAAAGCTGTTCTAGTAAATGCTCAAGTGAGACTGTTGGAGTACATGCTCAAGTAAACCTGTTCCAGTAAATGCTCAAGTAAAACTCTTCCACTAAACGCACAAGTATAGTTGTGCGCCCGGAAATGCTCAAGCAAAACTGCTCCAGTGTGCCCAAGTAAAATCATTGCAAAACTGCAACTCACTTTTTTGCTCAAGTCTTTCAAACACATCCATTGCTCGATGAACGTGCTCAAGAAACATGCGCCTACAGAATGAGCAGCCACACAGTTTCTCCCCTCATTCATTCTTAAAAATTGTTTGCTCCAACACGGACTTCGACAGCCTTTGCTAGTGCATGAAGTCCGGGCCCCAGGGATCACAGTGCTCAGCCCATGTAGTCCCCTGTGAACTTGTTGCGCATGACCACAAAATCAGAATCGAAACCGCGCAGAAAATTTCGACCTTTCGTGATCCTATTACTGGAAGTTAAAAATCTTTCGAGAATCCTCTCCAAGCAACCTTCCATAGCAATGGAATGGGTCTCGTCATCCCCTCTTTGGCTGCGCAGAACATGTACGCCTTGGTCAGGGCGCTTGACAGAAGGCCTTCGACTTTCTTGCCGTACTCCTCCACGAAGCGAATGCGCCGGTCGATGTGCTCGACCGCTGCCCGGTCCACGCCACGCACTGCAAAGTACTTGTGGTCGCTCTCCCGAGGCATCGCGCAAACAACTACAGACCTTCCACTGGCACACTGGAGTCGTAAAGGCTGCTCTAAAAACACATTCCTTTCATTAACGCAAAAAGTAAAAATACATGAGACAAGAAACATGCTCAAGTAAATATACACGAGACAAGAAAAATGCTCAAAGAAAAACGCTCAAGTAAATATACAAGAGAAGAAAATGCAAGTAAATATACATGAGACAAGAAACATGCTCAAGTAAATATACGTGAGACAAGAAAATGCTCAAGTAAATATATGTGAGACAAGAGAATGCTCAAGTAAAGATCACCACAGAAAAGTCAAAACATAGCAAATGTATGTTTATAGACGTGTAAAACCAAATTAGGGAGGTACCTAAAATTAGGTATGTTAGTAAAAATTACTTATGTAAGTAAAAAAACGTATGTTTTTCCACCTAGTTTTAAAACAAAACAAGTATTTTCGATGGCGAGTAAAATTACTAATCTTCGAGACTCAGGGTAGAGGTCTAGAGGTAGGAGCACATTTGCAGCGCATCCCGCGAACTCTGCTGCAAAATCCACATGCCAAGGTCCATAAAGCACTGCGCCTGCCACGACATCGGCACCTCAAGGTCCACAAAGTGCTGCGCCTGCCGGGAAATCTGCGCGTCAAGGCTCGCAAAATACTGCGCCTGCCACGAATCTGCACACATTTCATTCACACCACGCAGCCCTGCCAAGGTGCTTCGCAGCAAGCCAAACACAACATCAAGATGCCAAAACGCAGGTTTCGCTTGAGACTTCCTCCGATTTCTGAAACGAGCCACATGTCGTGAGCAGGCGCGGACGAGCGCCGAGGTATGTTGCGTGCAAAATCAGTGCAATCTGTGACAATCTGTGAGGAATGGACATCTCTATGTTCTGGGCTGCCATGGGTTTGTGAACGTCACTGAGAGGAAAGCTAGCGGGCTTTAACAGGGGGTTCTGCATATCGCCAAGATCAACCCTCTCCGGGATTCGGTCTACAAGGCAATTGTACGATACATGTTTCAAGCCGACCTCAGCTGGAAGCGTTGGGAAGCCATGAGCCGTACTTCCTGCAAGTTCCTCGAGAGTTTTTGTCCCGCCATGGACTGTCCTGCATTCATCCTGCAAAACGCCAACTTGGGCTACTGAAAAGGCATTCAGATTGACAACCGCACATACCAGGACTCCCCGAGTGCCCCTCAATCAAGCCTTTCCCACAGTCGCGCACGCTGCTACATGGACATATGGAGACAGTGAGACAAGCATCTATGTATAGAATCGATCTCAAAAGGCAGCTCTTGTTGGGGGCTCTTGTGGGACACTCTTGTAGGACTGGGACACTCGTGCAAAACTCCTGGGACTCTTGTCGGACACTCGTTTTTGTGGGACACTCATGCGGGAAACTCTTGTAGGTGCTCTTGACACTCTAGTGGAAAACTATTGCAGCGTCAAGTCTGCAAAACGAGCGTTTCGAACGAGACTTCCTCCAACACTCATGCGTCAAGTCTGCAAAACGAGCGCTTCGTACGAGACTATGCGTCAAGTCTGCAAAGCGAGCGTTTCGTACGAGACTATGCGTCAAGTCTGCAAAACGAGCGCTTCGTACGAGACTATGCGTCAAGTCTGCAAAGCGAGCGTTTCGTACGAGACTTCCTCCAAAAGAACACCCCGACAACAAAGAGTATTGCCAGTTATACCCTGACTCTCGTTGGGCCTCCGTTTTTGAGTTGTTTTGGGTCCAGGATCTCTCTGCAGCTCTCACGCCGGCCGCTCGCAGCTCGCACCGTTTGGAGATCAACGCTCTTGGATGTGGGACCTGGGACGGTGCTCCGGTGCCGAGGATAGGTTCCGGTATAGTGATTGACGCGAAGAATTGATGGATTCGTTTGGTTCCGTGGTGTTTCATGGATTCTTGGAGCAGCATTTTTTAGGACAATCATATTAGTTCAGTTCTATATATCCTTCAATAGGTGTGGAATCATGTGGATTCCATGTATGGGTGCGCATCATCTGGGCGGGCGCCCGAACCGGTGAATCGGACGGGTGTTTTTCATGCGGCGTACCCAGCTTTTGGGGGCATGATACCTCAACAACCGTGGCATGAATCAACACAACACAAGCAGCACAAGCAAGCACACCTTGCCTTGCAACAACCTAGTACTCCATGCAAGTATACCTTACCTCCTCAGAAAGTTAGCTATAGGGCATATCAAGGTCCGTTAAATTGCTGTTGCGAGATAATGTCTAATCCTCTAAACAAGACTCAACTCAAGAACCAAGCCCGATCTGAGTTGGTCACTACAAACTCCACCAAAAAAAAAGACGATTGGAACCCAACCAACTGCCTCAAACACGTGATACGCCCAGTCCCTAAAGAGTCCCAACCAAGCTGGATTTTTCTGCGACCCAACAAAGGCGCGAGAGGTCGGGGATCGGGACCAAAGGATTCCTCCACATGGCACCACTTGAGGACACAGGTGTTGGGACAAACCTCAGGACGCCGCAGAGGTGTTGAGCGTGCGAGCGGAATGACTTCACGGGTGAACACAGGGGTGGGGGATTTGGGACGCATTGTTGAGATCGAGTGGTTCATATGACTCTCTGTAGGTTTGCCAGCTCATGAATAGTGGGCTTGGTTCAACAAAAAGAAGATTGGCTGAACCATGCTAAACCCAGTTTCTTTCGAGTCTCCTTATTCTAATAAGTGCATGGACTGGTAACTCCTGACTCCTGAATATAACAAGAGCTGCTGCTACATCCAACGTCTATTAGCTGCCGCCTTTCTGCTTTGTACATGCCACGCGCAAAGAAAAAGTCTTACCCTCACAAGCGAACTGAAAGAGAGGACATCATGCTCCAAAAACATGTTATATAACCACTGTGCTTGCTAGTCGCAGCAATGTGTTGGTAAACCTGGCCAATACTTGACTTGCAGTTGAAGGCCGGGCCGAAATCTATTTCTTCAAATCTGCACCCAGTGCCTCACAGTCTTCAACTGATGAATCACTGATGATGAAGGGAACATTCTGAATGGCCGGTGCAGCTGGTAGAACGTCGCCGGCCAAAGATCTGACTTTGAACGTCGGTCATACAACAAGCACGACGGTACGTTGCGTACGGTACTGGTACTGTGGATCCAGTGCCTCAGGTTGTTCTTGGTTTCTAAGGTGGACTTGCAGGGCTGCTTACATTCCCTTTCATTGAACAAGTGACTTTCGGTTCCTTCAGTGATGAAAGTGGCTTTGGTTCCAAGCAAGTGATGTTCTTGGTTCCAGATTCCAAGCCATTTCGGTCCCTCAGCGCAGCCGCCGCAAACCACATCGAACTGGTCTAGGCCGTCGGGCTGCCACACGTCGCACCTGACACGAGCAGCCGAACAGACAGAGTAGAACAGTTCCCTACAGAGGGTAAGTGACCTTATAGGATCCTACAGGGGTACCTATAGGATAGTCTATAGGGTTCTTCAACCTCTGCTGGTCTTGTACCGGAACCAAATTCACAGGTCCAATGATGGTCGTCGAACAGGGTTGCAAATCGGAGCGATACTGAAGAACAATCTTCTGTTCGTCAAAGGTGAACGATGCTGCCACACAAGGATTTGATTACCATCAATATCAAAGTGTGGCACGTTGGCCCTCTGGTTTTGGAAGATCTTTGTCTGCCGGGTCACAACTGTCAACCCCAGAAAACCACAATAGAATGGTGTCTGGTGTCATTAACTGATGTAGAACTATAATATCTATAATTATATATATTGTATTTAAACGTGTTTAAATACAATGATTTTCCGTTGGACGTCATTTCCTTCTCAATGTGCAAACAGCATGGATCCACCAGTGCACTCGTGGAACAGGATTGGTTCCCATTTCCAACACACTCCCACATGGGCATTGCTGCCACTCCCACCAGGTTGCCAGCCACCAAAAGTTATTCCCGGGCGATGGCACCCTATGACCAACCAAACCAGTCAGCCAATCCAAGCCCGGTCGTCATTTCATGTCCCTGGAGTCTCAAAGTACCTTGGACAATGGGGCAGGTTCCATTTTCATTCGGTTCCTTTTTCAGACGGCTCCACCTCCGTCCGCCTCAGTCTTGCCATGCTTCTCGGTGACTTTCTTGATGACAAAGCCCTGCTGCGCATCGCGGATCTCACGCCTCAGTCGACGACTCCGTCGGGGCAAAGCCTGGAGGGTTGGTCGCGGAGTCGGTTTGCCGGGCTCTCTTACGAACGCGGAAGTACCAAGTGAAGCCCCAAAACCATTAACACAGTGGCCGGCCGACCCACCTGTGTCCCGTTACTAGACCGTTGAAGGAAGACCGCTTGGCATCAACAAAAGCAAAGAACACCACCCAGTATATTACGCCACGTGGATCTCCAGCGTCGTTTGGCTGAGTTCGTGGTGCTGGGTAGCCTCTTTCTTCCACGATGAAGAACCACTGCTTCTTTGGGACTGGTGCAGCCTCAACACACCGTGAACAAGGGGTTGCTCGTCTGCCTGAAGTTTTGATCCCTCAACGTCAAAATAGATTTCTCCACATATATGTGTATACCTGGATCTTCAAATGGCCTAGATATTTGCCGGATGTCAGTGGGAAAAACACAACCTTTCTGGGCATTCCGGGGTGCAAACATGTGCTCAAAAACGATGGACGGGTAAAAACGCCATTTGGACGCCTAAAAACTAATGTTTGTTTTGTCTCACCTCGCGACCACAATTCTTGCAAGTTTCTGCCTTGTCACAACGAAAAGCGCAGTCGTTGTGAAAAAAAACACCGTAACAGCATGTTTTCCTGAGAAGGAGATCCATGATCCAGGTATATTTCTACATTACATTAATGGCCAGCGACCATAAAAGGTATTCGACACACGTGCATTCGCAAAATACCCTTGAACCATCTACTGTACCAACATCGTGTTCATCTATAATCTCGAGGATGTTTGGGCCTTGGTCGACGTCTGATTCGGTAACCAAACGGTCTGATTCGGTAACTATGATTCGATAACTAAAAGCGCT